TGACGTATCATGTGGCTGCTTGGGAAACCCACAGACTGTTGTGCAAATGCTTCTTGTTTCATTGACTTGGCCCTTGCTAGGTAAAAATGTGTTTGCATTTCACAAGTATGTGTCACTCAGACAACAAGTAAGGTGTCCCTGATCTTACCCAGAGGTCAGCAACCTTTCTGAGCTCTGAGAGTTGCCAGGGACATGAGGTTTGCCTGTTGGTGTGCTGGGAGAAAAACCTGGGGTATAGAAATTATGTTAGGGAGAAAGAGCCATCCGGTGTCTCCGTGTGTGTGTGTGTGTGTGTGTGTGTGTGTGTGTGTGTGTGTGTGTTTGAGACAGTCTCTGTTGCCCAGGTTGGAGAGCAGTCTCCAGAGTAGCTGGGATTATAGGCATGTGCCACCACACCCGGCTAATTTTTGTATTTTTAGTAGAGACAGGGTTTCACCATGTTGGTCTTCAAACCCCTGACCTCAGGTGATCTGCCCACCTTGGCCTCCCAAAGTAGCTAGGATAAGCATGAGCCACCGTGCCCAGCCGTCCCTTCTTATACACTTTTTTCCATCCCATGCTTTTTCTGGAACCCACCTTGTTTGAATCCTAGTTTTCCTTTACGGATCACCTTTTCCAAGTAGCCTTCCCTGATTACAGCTGGTACAACTTCCCTCTCCCATCAACACTCACAGCACTTGGTATGCTGATCTCAACCAATGCAGATCATTTCTCCTTAGGACTGTTTCCCCCTCTGGGCTGCAGGCTCATTCACTCACACATTCCTGAGCCCTGCAGGACCCTGTGTTTCAAACCACGGGAACACTATTATGGGTCGGGATGTCAATTTAAAGCTAATTATTTCCCAAGATTGCCTGAGAGGAATCAGCTAGGGCTAGTGTTAAATATACACAGGCCAACTGGCCTCTCTCCTGGGAATTCTGATTTAGTCTGTCTTAGAACTGATGATATGTATGTTGGCTTTTTTTGAGATAGGGTCTGTCTCCCAGGCTGTCTGTCTCCCAGGCTGGAGTGCAGTGGTATGATCACAGTTCACTGAAGCCTCAACCTCCCAGACTTAAGCAATCCTCCCACCTCAGCCTCCCAGGTAGCTGGGACTACAGATGTGCACCACCATACCTGGCTAATTATTTTATTTTTTAAAGATACGGTCTCAATGTGTTGCCCAGGCTAGTCTCAAACTTCTAGGACCTAGAATCTAAGTCAATGCTTTTCAATCTGTAATGTGAGCATAGCACACCTGGTGAACTTGTTAAATACCAATCCTGGTTTACTCGGGCCAGAACTCTTCATTTCTAACAAACTTCTGAGTGACTCAATGCTGATGCCCTAAATGTATGGCCCATAGGTGGTTTGGCCAAATTCAAGCGAGTCTTATCTTCAGACACATTGGGGAAGCAAGAGTTGAGTGCTGTTCTCAACCTCAGCACACCTGGGGAGCTTTTAAACTATACTAAGGTTCAGGTCCCACTGCAAACCAATTAAATCAGAACCTCTGGGGGGAGGGGAGAGTGGGAGTTGTTTTGTTGTGTTGTTTTCAAAGCTTCTCAAATGATTCTAATGTGAAACAGAGCTAAGAATCACTGACTCAGTGGGTCCCTACCAGCATTAAAATAAATGAATGGGTAAATGGAAGAGAACAAACAATCCCACGGGCTTGTGGGGTAAATCCTGGGTCTCCTTTATATGTGATAAATGCAGATGCATGTGAGTTGCTAGATCAAAGCAGGTTTGGACATGAGTGAAGCAGAAAGGGAGAAGGCCCTGGAGTTCATAGACCAGCCATGGGGACAGACCACAAGAACGGGGGGTGGGAGCCAGGGAGGGTGGAGCTGACAGCACCAAGGGGCCTTGCAGTGGGAGGTAGTGAGGTCAGATGGGGTAGCAGTGACCAGAAGCCTCTGAACTGAGCCATGAAAGAGCAACAGGACATTGTCATGAAGCAAGCAAGACCTTTTAGGCACAGAGGACAAAACATACGCAAGCATAGGGGCGTGAAAAGAATGCACAAGTTCAGGGAAGGGAACGACACGTGGCTGGCTGGCCCTTTGCCATTTGGTACTGAGGGGTGTAAAGGGGAGTGGCAGAGATTGGCAATGATTGCAGGGGCCTGGAAAATGTGAGCTGAAGAGAAAGGAAGATCACTGACCCCTTGTGTTAGGGAATGACCTCAGGTGACCTTAGCTGGGCAGAGCCACTCACAGTAGCTAAGACTCCACGGACAGTTTGCGTAAGGCTGTTTTCATGTGCCTGAGAGCCCATGAAGTCTGAGGGCACCAGACAACTTTCTAGAAAGCATTTTTTGGGGAGAGGAGTGGAGGGTGATGAAGCAAAGATCTACCAGCAACATTCCTATGATCCTTTTCCCCAAGAACCCAGGTCCGCCCTTCCAACAGCTCTGCTCTCCACCTGCATTTTGTTTTGGCAAACATGTTCTATGCACCCTTTGTGCCAAGCACTGAGTTGGAGAGCCAGGAAAAAGCCAGACGGCTCTGCCCTTGTGAGCTGGCAATGGGAAGGATCACACCTTCATAAGTGACTACAACACAGGACAGGATGTCAGAATCCCCCCGCCACCCAACTCTGTGTCCTGGAAAGGCAGAGGCAAGAACAGTCAACCTTGCCTAAGATGATCAGGGAAGGCTTCTAGGAGGAAGAGGAGCCAAAAGGACCTTGAAGGGCTAACATATTTGGTGAAGAGCTTGTGTGTCACTGGTGAAAGGGGGAAACAGGTTTAAGGAACGCAGAATTTGCAAAACACTGAGACTGCATGTGGCTAAAACATAGAAGATAGTTGGGGTTGAGGTGGACAGACTGGCAAAAGGGCCAGGAAAGGACAGTCCGTGTACCACGTTAAGGAGTTTGGATTTACTGGAGGAAGCAAGAGGGAACCATTGGAGATTTTTAAGCTGGGGATGACATGATCACAGCTGGGTTAGAGGATATCTGGAAGCTGACATAGTGGCTGGAGGTATGGAATGCAGGAATAGGTGGATGAGGACAGAAATGAAGGGCTAATTTTATGATGGATCCTGAATCCAGAAATAGAGGGTTTTCATCCCCAACATTTATATGCCCAAGAAGAGCCAATTAAGGGCCTGGGGATTTTTTTTTTTTTTTTTTTTTTGAGACAGAGTTTCACTCTTGTTACCCAGGCTGGAGTGCAATGGCGCGATCTCGGCTCACCGCAACCTCCGCCTCCTGGGCTCAGGCAATTCTCCTGCCTCACTCAGCCTCCTAAGTAGCTGGGATTACAGGCACGCGCCACCACGCCCAGCTAGTTTTTTGTATTTTTAGTAGAGACGGGGTTTCACCATGTTGACCAGGATGGTCTCGATCTCTCGACCTCGTGATCCACCCGTCTTGGCCTCCCAATGTGCTGGGATTACAGGCTTGAGCCACCGCACCCGGCCATGGCCTGGGGATTTCTGACAAGGAACTGAGAGCTGGAGGAGCAGAGGCCGGTGCTGTGGCCTGCAGCATAAAAGCAGCAGACTGGCTCAGCTCCAGACCTGAGCATTCCCTTTAACTTGGGATTTTCTGAGTCTGGTGTGCCCCAACTGTGTGTTTAATTTCAATCTTTTCCTTCTTGTTCAGGTTTTACCGCAGGAGAATAACCTCTCCATTCTAATCTGAAATTAATTATTTATGTTTATGAACATGCTGGATGCCTGCCTGGTTTATTTATTTTCCGAATAATACATCTGAATAGGCATTCACACAAGACAAGGCAAACATAATTTTGAGGCAAAGGCCCTTGCCAACTGTTGCCTGATTAATTGTTCTAAGCCATTGTGTAGCCTTGTCCTTATCGTTCGGAGTCCAAAATCTACCCCTCGCATACTAATGAGATGGCAGGTGCCAGTCAAGATTCGCACTATCCAGCTTCACCACCTGACCCTTATCTCCTGCTACTATGACTTTCTCCACTGGGCCAAATTCCAGTCATCTACCCTCCAAGGCCCAGTTCAAACGTCTACTCAGTGAAGCCATCTCTGGTTCTCTCTCAAGGGGTAGATCCCCTCATGCTTCTGAATTTCCAGACTTTTGTTTTTGTATCCTTCACCAGACGCTAAGCTCCCAAGGACCTGGCACGCAATAGGTTCCTCAGCGGAGCATTTGCTGGAATGGGGAGCCTGGTCTCCTGCTTCCCGAGAGGCAGCTAAGCGCGGCAGCCAAAGCGGGGCTCGGCAAAGACCAGACCCACTTTTGGAGTCAGAGTCTACAAAGTGCTCTCGGGGGAAGGACACCCGCGGGGAACGTCGCCCACCCGGAGCCGATCCCCCCAAGAACGCTTCACTCGGGCGGGGTTACTGTTTGGGCTCGTTCAAAGCACAGGGCACACACTTCACAGGTCCACAAGCCTCCTGAAACGCCTCTGCCTCAGGCCGCCCTTTCCGTTCCCTTTAACGCCTCCCATCTATTGTGCGCCTTCCAGTTTCCAACGCGGAGTCGGAACCATCATTTCCAAAGACCCCTACAACAGTTCAGACACACATACAAGGCACGGGTTACTTTTGAGACGGGGCATTCACACAATACAGGGCAAATATAATTTTGAGGCAAAGGCCATTTCCAACTGGAATTGGGGCTGAGGGTCCAGCTACTCGTCCAAGGTCACTTTCAAGAAGTATGAGGACTATGACTTTGACCCAAGCCTTCTAACTCCCCGGCAGCGCTTCTCCCAAGACCCCCGCAGGTTGTCTGAGCTTCAAAGGAAAAAGTTTAAAAGTGATCCGTATGTCCCAAAGCACGCACAAAGCGTCCTTCTGTAAACTGCGGCATGGGTCACTGATGAAAGATTGCTCTAAGGGTTTGGAGACACCCAACAATGCTCCACAGAGGGGGCCAGGCCAGCACTTTCGAGTTTTCCGCAAAGGCGCTCGTGCCCGGAAAACCGACAATGCCCCTAAACCCGCCAATACCCAGACGCCCCCTGCAGGCAGCGCGCTACGGAAAGCGTTGGCTGTTTCTGGCACGCTGAGGCCACCGTACGGCATCAAGAGTGAAGCAACCCGGCTAGCGGAGCCTCGCAGCCTGACAGGTGTGATGGGGTGGCCCTCTACCTGCTCCGCCGAGGCGGCTGGCGGCCGGGAGAAGTAGGCTGGCGACATCTGGCGGGCCGCGAGTCGCGGGCCGAGGGAGAAGTAGAGGGGCAGTGTCTCCCTCACGTGATCCGAACGGCGCCGAGCGCGTCGCGCTGCGCCCCCGCCCCGGGGTCGGTCACGGTCTGCGCCTGCGCGGGCCCCGGCTCGCTCGCCGTCCTCCGGGACGCCGGCGGCGATGGGTGAGTGAGGGGCGGGCGTGGGGAAGCACCGGGCCTCCCTCTTACGTGGTTGCAGGGAGGGGAAACGCGCCCAAGGGCCCGTCGTAGCAGCCGGCCGCCCTACGGGCCCACCCCCGTTTTCTGCGCGCCGGCTGCCCTGGCCTGGCCGCTGTGGGGCCCGCCCAGGCGGCGCGCGCGGAATCACTTCTGAGCCTCCTCGGCTCCCGGCTCTCCCGCCTACCGCGCGAGAGTGTCCGGCTTCTGGGCGACCTTTCTCCCGAAGGAGGCTGTGCCTTCACACGGGTTCGTCTTGGGCTGGGGAGGCACCTCCCTGGTACGCCGTAACCGCAGGGGCGGGGAGGAGCTGGGCTCTGCCTGCGCCTGGGGGAGAGCGGGGCTGGCACCGCACGAGGGTCCCTGCCTCCCGGGAGATTGGGGTCTCCTCACCTCTGGACCCCTGACTGTGGAGTGTCAGAGACGGAAAACGACTTAGTGATCTTGTTCAACCCCCTCCCCGCTTTTCACAGGTTGGGGAAGTGGACGCCTGGAGAACGGTAAGTTCAGCTGCGTAGCCTGACATTGCTTGTTCTGCGACACCATGTTGCATCGCGTTGTAGGAAGCTCACTTGTATAAGGATTTTCGGGGACGGTGGTGGTGGTGGTGGTGTTAGTCTCCATGCATTATTTGGTGTTAAGTTTAGCTAGATGGAGTATGTGAGCACCTCAACTTTCTGCATAATCTTTGCTTTGCACCTCACAGGTCTACCTAGCTGATCTTAATTCCCATCCTCTGTTTCTCACTGCTTGTAATCTGTGAAACAGAAGCCCTTGAAATGTATAGTGACCTTGCCATTTTGAGCCTCCTCTGCCCGTGCTTTGAAAGGATTCCGTAGGATCAAAAGGTGCTAGGACTCTTGAGGTCCCATAGTGGTTCAGAGCACAGCATACCGCTTTGCAACTGGAATCACCCTTAGCGCATCTCAAGGGAAAATAAATTAGGAGTTGACTTACCTGATCTCTCGTTCGGTAGATGAAAGCAAACACAGATTAGTGGATTTTAAAATCAGATATTGCTTTGTCTTTATAGTGGCAAGATAGTTTCATAACTAGGAGTAGACCCGGGCTGATCTTGTTCTGAATGCTGACTCAGACCTGCTGACTAGTGGAAATTCACATCCTTTGAGAATTGGAATCACCCTCTCCCCAGTTTTTGCAGAGACCTTTGTGCTGGGGTCATATCTGGATCATGCTTACCCATGTAGGCTGTAAATTAAGGTTTTAGATTTTACACAGTTTCCTCAGTCACAGAAGCTTGACACTTAATAGTTGCTTGAAAGTGAAGTTCATTAACTTTGCTTCCTTGTGATGCGTTAGATTGTTTTACATTGCAAACAAGTTTAAAGTTATGGTAAATAAATTTTGCAATAAATTGCAAAGAATTATCCACATTAATGAATAAAAATAAAAAGATCAGTTTAGCAAAGAAATTTAACCATGATCACAGTATAGGTAAACATGCAAAATTCTAAACTCCATTATCAAAGAATGCTGTACACATTATCCTTCTGTTGCTAAATTAAGAACCTATTCACACCATCCTGGTCTTTAGGATTAAATTAGAGAAAAAGCTTTAAATCTGTGAAGTCCGGGAGGGTTTCAGAACATTTTTTCCCCCATCTAGGCCTAGTTTTTAAATCTGAGAATCTCAATTTATAGTAATGTTCTTAAAATAGTTTGAGATGGTGGCCAATAAATGGTTAACTTCTGTTAGCTGTAGTTTTCTGCTTGTGTAGTAATAGTCCCCGTTCTCACACAGAGTCATAAAGTCACCTTTATTTGCAAAATTTCAGAAAGTAATACAAGTCCTATTCCAGGAAAAAAGTGAACGTGGACAAAATTTTTATTGTTGTTCAAGTTCACAAATAACTTGGCTTGTACCATCAAGGAGCATATGTAAACAACTTGTAGGTGGTGACTTTCGAATTAAAGATATTTTGTGTGCTCAATATGTAAAAATGGTTTTGACATTCATAAATTGTCACAATATCATGTAATATGTACATTAATCTGGATATTCTTGTTCATTTAACATTGTTCAATTCTGAAACTGAAGTACAAAGCATTACATAGGTACATAGGTATCAAGCATTTTTGTGCTAAGTTTTACTACTTAAACTATTGATTAATCTTAGTTTGTAAGCGTACTACCAAGAGTTTTTAACTCATACCTATCAGCTGAAATAGTAAAAAGTAAGGATATAGTAGACCAATAATCATCAAACTTAATAGCCTGACAAACTTCAGTGTCTAGAATATATTTTAAAGTTAATCATATTAAGCTCCAAACCTCAGTACATTAAGAAAGGGAGAGAAGAGAGGGAATGGATGATATTCTGGAACCGTTTTTTTTCCTTTTAATTCTATTTTTATTGTGAATAGCAACACAAAACTGACTTAATGACGATTTTGGGACACTTAGAAGCAAGAAGAGTTGAGATGAAATGCTAACTCTCTTAAAAAGTAGTAGTAAGGGTTTTGCTCAAAGGAAAGTACATAGCCTTAAACAGTCAGGTTAAGAAACAAAGAATTAGTCTGGGTGTGGTGGCTCACACCTGTAATTCTAGCACCTTGGGAGGCCAAGGCTGGTGGATCACCTGAGGTCAGGAGTTCAAGACCAATCTGGCCAACATGGTGAAACCCTGTCTCTTAAAAAAAGAAAGAAAGAAGGAATAAAAATAATTGTCTCACTTAAGAATTACAAGAAAATGGCTGGGCACGGTGGCTCACACCTGTAATCCCAGCTTTTTGGGAGGCTGAGGTGAGTGGTTCACCTGAGGTCAGGAGTTCAAGACCAGCCTGACCAACACAGAGAAACCCCATCTCTACGAAAAATACAAAATTAGCTGGGTGTGGTGGCACATGCCTGTAATCCCAGCTACTTGGGAGGCTGAGGCAGTAGAATTGCTTGAACCTGGGAGGTGGAGGTTGCAGTGAGCTGAGATCGCGCCACTGTACTCCAGCCTGGGTGACAGAGATCACACCACTGCATTCCAACCTGGGTGACAGAACAAGATCCCGTCTCAAAAAAAAAAAAAAAAAATAGTAAAATTGTTAATTCACAAGCTGCTTCTTTGCTAGAAGAGGAAAGGTTATAAATCAGATAAACTGATAACCCTGCTCAAAAAAAAGTGAACGTAAGTACACAGGTTAGAAATAATTTTTTTTTTTTTTTTTTGAGACAGAGTTTCGCTCTTGTTACCCAGGCTGGAGTGCAATGGCGTGATCTCGTCTCACCGCAACCTCTGCCTCCTAGGCTCAGGCAATTCTCCTGCCTCAGCCTCCTGAGTAGCTGGGATTACAGGCACGCACAAACATGCCCAGCTAATTGTTTGTATTTTTAGTAGAGACGGGGTTTCACCATGTTGACCAGGATGGTCTCGATCTCTTGACCTTGTGATCCACCCGCCTCGGCCTCCCAAAGTGCTGGGATTACAGGCTTGAGCCACCGCGTCCGGCCAGAAATAATTTTTTAAAACAGCAAGTGTTGGATGGGGGCAGTAGCTTGTAATCCCAGCACTTTGGGAAGCCAAGGCAGGCAGATCTCTTGAGCCCAGAAGTTCAAGACCAGCCGAGGTAATATAGTGAAGCCCTCTCTGCACGAAAAAAATGCTTTTTAAAAGTTAGCCAACCATGGGCTGGGCGCGGTCGCTAAAGCCTGTAATCCCAGCACTTTGGGAGGCCAAGGCGGGTGGATCACGAGGTCAAGAGATCGAGACCATCCTGGTCAACATGGTGAAACCTCATCTCTACTAAAAATAAAAAAAATCATTTGGGCATGGTGGCCCGTGCCTGTAATCCCAGCTACTCCAGTGGCTGAGGCAGGAGAATTGCCTGAACCCAGGAGGCGGAGGTTGCGGTGAGCCGAGATCGCGCCATTGCACTCCAACCTGGGTAACAAGAGTGAAACACAGTCTCAAAAAGAAAGTTAGCCAACCATGGTGGCATGTGCCTGTGGTCCTAACTACTCAGGAGACTGAGGCCCCAGGGGGCCCAGGCTGCAGTGAGCCATGATCATACCACCGTACTCCAGTCTGGGTAACAGAGCAAGACCCTGTCTTTTTTGTTGTTGATGTTGATAGAGAGTCTCACTCTGTCACCCAGGCTGGAGTAGGCTCACTACAAGCTCCGCCTCTTGGGTTCAAGCAATTCTTCTGCCCCAGTCTCCCAAGTATCTGAGACTACAGGCACGTGCTGGCATGCCTGACTAATGTTTTGTATTTTCAGTGGAGATGGGGTTTCACCGTGTTAGCCAGCATGATCTCAACCTCCTCACCTCATGATCTGCCCACCTCAGCCTCACAGAGTGCAGATTGCAGGGGTGTGCCACCGCGCCCATCCAAGACCCTGTCTCTTTTTTTTTTTTTTTTTTTTTGAGACAGAGTTTTGCTCTTGTTACCCAGGCTGGAGTGCAATTGTGCGATCTCGGCTCACCGCAACCTGGGTTCAGGCAATTCTTCTGCCTCAGCCTCCTGAGTAGCTGGGATTACAGGCATGCGCCACCATGCCCAGCTAATTTTTTGTATTTTTTAGTAGAGACGGGGTTTCACCATGTTGACCAAGATGGTCTCGATCACTTGACCTTGTGATCCACCCGCCTTGGCCTCCCAAAGTGCTGGGATTACAGGCTTGAGCCACCACGCCCGGCCGACCCTGTCTCTTAAAATTAAAATAGGCTACACGCAGTAGCTCATGCCTGTAATCCCAACACTTGAGCCCAGGAGTTTGAGACCACCCTGGACAACATAGTGAGATCCTGTCTCTACAAAAAAAAAAAACAAACCATATAAATTAAACCAGAATTCTTTTTTTTTTTTTTTTTTTTTAAGGAAGTCCATTTATCAAAATTGACTCCAGAAGAGAGAACATAACAGAACAAAAACAATGGAAGAAATTGGGAACATTATCAAAAAGCTATCATCCTGCCAAACTCCAGGCTCAGATGGTATTACAGGTAAATTCTTTTTTAAACTTCAAGGAACAGATAATTTTATAAGATTTAAATTGTTATACAGTATAATGATGGGGAAATCACATATTCTTTTTACAAAGCCAGTGGAACATTAACACTGACACTTGATGTGAAGATAGAATTAAAACTAAAAACTTACCTGAGTGTCATGGCTTATGCCCATAATCCCAACACTTTGGGAGGCTGAGGTGGGGGGATTGCTTGAGCCAAGGAGTTCCAGACCAGCCTGGCCAACACAAAGAAACCCTGTCTCTGCAAAAAAGTGAAAAACTAGCCAGGCATGTGGCGCACATGTGTGGTCCCAGCTGGGAGGATTTCTTGAGTCTGGGAGGTTGAGGCTGCAGTGAGCCATGATTGTACCACTACACTCCAGCCTAGGTGACAGAGTGAGACCCTGTCTTGCCAAAAAAAAAAAAATGACATGATCTGTATGAACAGTAATAAGACATTTTAAAATATAAGCAAATGGAAATTAGCAGTATACTAAAAGAATATTTCACCACAGCTAAGTAGCATTTATCCTCATATTGCAAAGGTGAGTAATCATCAAGAAATATGCTAACGTAATACACCAAACAGATACTTCAGAAAAGAGTAATAATAATAATAATAGCTTGTCCTTGTTGAGTACATGCTGTACACTAGACTGCTCTCCCACATGCTTTCTATGGTATTAGCTCAGTTGATTGAGCTAGTCTATGAGGTAGTTAACAGTCGTGTTTTATAAAGAAAATAAACTATAGATTGACAAGTCAAAGGTCACACAGTACATGTGTGGTGGAGCTAGGATTTAAACCCAGGTAATTAGTAGGTTCCAGAGGCTGTACTCTTAAATATTACACTGACTCTATCTCCAGTGTTTGTATGATCATCTCAGAAGCTTCCTAAAAGCATTTGACCAAAGTTTAAGTTAGACTCTTGAGTTATTGGGGTGGGAAGGTGTGGAAGTGATTGAACTTCAGTACAAGAAGAAGAAGTGTATATTTCCGTCCCATGTTTGAAAATTTTCTTTTTTTTTTTTTTTTTTTTTTTTTTTTGAGACGGAGTTTCACTCTTGTTACCCAGGCTGGAGTGCAATGGCGTGATCTCGGCTCACCGCAACCTCCGCCTCCTGGGTTCAGGCAATTCTCCCGTCTCAGCCTCCTGAGTAGCTGGGATTACAGGCACACGCCACCATGCCCAGCTAATTTTTTGTATTTTTAGTAGAGACGGGGTTTCACAATGTTGACCAGGATGGTCTCGATCTCTCGACCTCGTGATCCACCCGCCTCGGCCTCCCAAAGTGCTGGGATTACAGGCTTGAGCCACCGCGCCCGGCCCATGTTTGAAAATTTTCTACGAGACCCTTACCAGTTGACTAGAAAAATGGAATCCATTTTTATTTTTTATTTTGTTTATTTTTGAGATGGAGTCTTGCTCTGTCACCCAGGTTGGAGTGCAGTGGTGCAATCTCAGCTCACTGCAACCTTGCTTCCTGGGTTCAGGTGATTTTCCTGCCTCAGCCTCCTGAGTAGCTGGGATTACAGGCACGCGCCATCACAGCTGGCTAATTCTTGTATTTTTAGTACAGATAAAGTTTTGCCGTGTTGGCCAGGCTGGTCTTGAACTCCTGACCTCAAGTGATCTGCCTGCCTTGGTCTCCCAAAAAGCGCTGGGATTATAGGTATAAGCTACCACGCCCAGCCTGGAATCCATTTTTAATGGGGAGCACAATTTCATAGTTAATAGTTGGGGGCACGGCCAGGTGCAGTGGCTCAAGCCTGTAATCCCAGCACTTTGGGAGGCCGAGGCGGGTGGATCACAAGGTCAAGAGATCGAGACCATCCTGGTCAACATGGTGAAACCCCATCTCTACTAAAAATACAAAAAATTAGCTAGGCATGGTGGCGCATGCCTGTAATCCCAGCTACTCAGGAGGCTGAGGCAGGAGAATTGCCTGAACCCAGGAGGCAGAGGTTGCGGTGAGCCGAGATCGTGCCATTGCACTCCAGCCTGGGGAACAAGAGTGAAACTCCGTCTCAAAAAAAGAAAAAAAAAATAGTTGGGGGCAGGAGCTTAAGTTATAGTTGCAGCTATACTAATTCTTTGAATATAGATTGAAGTCTTGGGGTTTTTGGCATAATTTGTGAGATAAAATTATGTGATGGGCCTCCTTCATGTTTACAGTACAGTCATACGGTTGGGCAAGGATAGATGATAAACGGAGGAGGGATACTTGAGTGGGAGTAAGTCTTATATGGCTCAGCTGATAAGTGATCATTTTTGTGTCTTGATGATTTGTTTCCCTGTGTAAACTTGAAAACTGCTAGGACTTGGATTATAAAAACTCAGATGACAAGAACTTCCTGTTTAAAGCAAAAAGCCAGCTTAATGGTAATCTCTAGGAGAGTTCCCACAAGTGTCAAGAAAAATATAAGAACTATAATTTTATATATATGTAATTATATAAAGATTATAATTATAATTTATTATAATCTTATTGTAATTTAATTTTGTTCAGGAAGTATTTGTCAGTTCAATAAGAAGAATTATACATATTATAAAAGAGAAGGCAAAATTGTTTGCAAATGGTCTTTTATATTGTAGAAACAAACAAATTCACCAAAAAACTGAGACATAGTAAGGATTCAGTAAATTAGCTAGTTCTAACCTTAATACCCAAGAATTGTTAGTTTTTTTCTTATGCAAACAAAACCAGTTAGAAAATTGGTGGAAGTAAACAGCCTATAAATAATAATAATCAGGCAGGGTGAAGTGGCTCATGCCTATGATCTCAGCACTTTGGGAGGCTGAATGGGAGGATAGCTTGAGCCCAAAAGTTCAAGACCAGCCTGGGCAACATAGTAAAACCCCATCTCAAAAAGAAAAATATTAAAAAATTTAAAACAAAATTTTAAGTATATTGTAAGTGCATCTATATTGTAAGTATAGATGTAATACTTAGATGTAAAATACTTAGGTGTAAGAAATAATCAAGATCTATTTGAAGAAAATTTTAATGCTTTAAGGTTTGCAAAAAGTTCTAAGTAAGGCAGGGTGCGGTGGCTCACACTTGTAATCCCAGCACTTTGGGAGGCTAAGGCGAGTGGTTTGCTCTAGGTCAGGAGTTTGAGACCAGCCTGACCAATACGATGAAACCCCATTTCTACTAAAAATACAAAAATTAGCCAGGCGTGGTGGCATGCGCCTGTAATCCCAGCTACTCAGGAGACTGAGATCGGAGAATTGCTTGAACCTGGGAGGCAGAGGTTGCAGTGAGCCAATATCACACCATTGCACGCCAGCCTGGCCAACAAGAGCGAAACTCTGTCTCAAAAAACAAAAAGAAAAGAAAAAATGTTGTAAGTAAATTGGAAGATACCAAGTTCTTACAAAGTCAAGATTCAATTTCGAAAAGATGAATTAAGATAGCTCTTGTCGTGTCCTGTCTGTCATTTCCTCCAGACAGCTAGTTAATGACCTCCTGCTGTACGGGGCCTTGATACCTTCCCTGATTGCATTTATCTCCCTATAGTCTAATAATTTGCATGTCTTACCTCCCCTGACATAGGTACCTGACATACATACGCTGTTTAATTTTTACTCTTTCCATCTAAATACCACTACAAGTTCAAAATTAATACTATTCTGAACCTTAAATATTTATTTATTTATTGATTGATTGATTTATTGATTTATTTGAGATGGAGCTTCTCTCTTGTCACCCAGGCGGGAGTGCAGTGGTATAGTCTCAGCTCACTGCAGCCTCCGCCTCCTGGGTTCAAGTGATTCTCTTGCCTCAGGCTCCTGACTAGCTGGGACTACAGGCATGCACCACCATGCCAGACTAATTTTTGTATTTTTATAGAGATGGGGTTTCGCCATGTTGGCCAGGCTGGTTTCAAACTCCTGACTTCAAGTGATCTGCCCACCTCGGCCTCCCAAAGTGCTGGGATTATAGGCATGAGCCACTGTGCCTGGCCACCCAGCCTATTTTTAATAACTATATGTCTCATCCTGTGGATACATCTTCCACCGTAAAACATCAACAGGATTTTAGGGAAGAATACACTGACTTTTACCTGAGAAAAATTAGAGGGCCAGGAGAATTGTAACAATTCTCTATAGAGGGGGAAGGCCCTACTAGATGATGAAACATATTCTGATGCTGCAATAGGTTAAAATAGGCTAGTACTAGAGAAGAAATGCTAGGATTTTTGTGGAAAAGAATGGAGTGCAGAAATCAATACAAACGTGCATGCGTATTTAGATTATGCTGCAACTGATGAAAACAGAGTTCATTAATCAGTGATGTTGGCAGTCTCTTATCTTTGCCTCACTTTTTATACTGATATTCCTGAAAGATTACAGTGTAGGTGATAAATGAAACCATAAAAATTATGGAAGGGCCTGTAATCCCAGCACTTTGGGAGGCTGAGACAGGCAGGTCACTTGAGGCCAGAGGTTTGAGACCAGCCTGGCCAATGTAGCAAAACCTTGTCTCTACTTAGAATATAAAGATTAGCTGGGCATGGTCGCACAGCTACTTTGGAGGCTGAGGCAGAAGAATCACTTGAACTGGAAAAGCAGAGGTTGCAGCAAGCCAAGATCATGCCACTGTACTCCATCCTAGGTGATAGAGTGAGACTCTCTCAAAAAAAAAGTTGTGAAAGGAAGCCTGGATTATTTGGAGTAGTGAAGACCTTCTAAGGAGAACATGAAATCTAGAAGTTGAAATATATTTAATATCAAATTCAAGAACTTCAGTGAATAAAATGTTAAAGACATGGAAAAATTATTTGCCATAATTTGACTAATAACTAGATTGATTTTCTTCATATTCAAAACATATTTTACAAACCAATAAGACAACCAAAGCACCAGCAGAAAAATGAGCAACATAAGCTGAGGCATGAGGATTGCTTGAGGCTAGGCGTTTGAGACAAGCCTGGCTAATGTAACAAGATCCCTTCTCTATTAAAAAAAAAAAGTAAAAAGAAAAA